CACCCCTTAAAAAGCATACGGCTGGCAAGTGATAGTTGAGAAATAAGTAGAGCAGTTAATGGGTGAGCTAATTATGAAAAGGAATGTTTCTTTCCTAACTTGTAAAGTTGCTGGGCAGAAGTTTCACCTTCAGACTGGGAAGAGCCAAGATCTGGAAAACAGAATGCTCCTAGGAGATAGGGATTTGGCCTCGGGAATAATACAGAAATCTAATTGTCAAGGTTAGGCCACAAGGTTAGAGCTTGCCAAGCAACAAATAAAATTCATGGAAGCCACTGATGTGTTAGTTTAGAATTTCCTAAACCCTGGTTGAGGTCAAAATCAGCTCCTGAGCCTTAAGGAAACAAAATCCTGAGTCAGACAGCATGGGCCCAAGTCCCAGTTTTTAACCACCACCCATAACCTTGCAATATCTCTTAGAGTTACCTAAACTTCCCTGTGTTTCTGTTTTCTCACTTGTGCAATAAAATAATTCTACCTATTTTTTATGATCCTTGGAATGATTAAATGAGCTATTCTATATGAGGAGCTTAACATACTCTCTGCTCATGCAGGTGTTCCAAAGTTCTTAGCTACCAGTGTATTTAGCATGCAGTTAAGGGGCAAATGGCTCCAGCTATGGAAAGAAGCACCTTTCTAATCGCTATAATTTATTACTGTCTCCGAGCCACAACCAAAACATCGGTACTCTAGTTCAGCCTGGAAAACAAGTGGATTCTCCACACTCATTGAATAATCATAATTTTGCTGATGAGAAAATGCCTCAAAATCTGAGGATTTCCATTTCAAAAGTTTAATGATTTGGGGTAATTAGAACCATAGGATTACATTAAGAATATTCTGGTAAATGGTCCCTATCTCCCACTTTGCTTTGACTATGGATACCAGGTCACAGTGTTCTGAGGTGAGTTCCCAAAATACCCGTGGACCCACAGCAGAAAAGTGCCTCCTGAGTGCAGTTGAAGCTTGAGTCCTGAGGTTGCCAGGCAACAATTCATGTACCTGGCATGGAAGTTAGCTTCCTGGAAACATTAGCAGAAGCAAATCAGACATGCTTAACTCTGCAGGTGCGTACGAGTCAGGCGTCTATGTTATTTCAGACATTAGAGCAAATTCTAATATGAACCCTTGGAACACACAACCTATCAGCTATCATATGGATCTACTCTTGTTCCATTCAAAAGCAACAATGGGTTGGGCAAATTAAATGAAACACTTCAAGATAAGAAAATAAACAACAGTAACGGTGAAGAAATCAACGGCCCTTTCTGTGCTTCCTCTGTCACTGTGTATGGGCTCCTCTTCTTTCTCTATTTCCCAAAGTCAATCAATCCACTGATAAATCAGCAAGTCTTTAAAATTCTACTACGACAAAAGCATTTTGATTAGGTGCTCAGGAGTTAAAAGGTTCGTATGTAATATAGTTTCTATACTTAAGATTTTTGCCATTCTTTGAGAAAGTCAAATAAAGATTCTGGAAAGGTCTTTACATTCCTACAATGATTAAAAAAATCAGTGGTTTCTAGGAATTAAGTGGAAATGAGGGATGTATAGGTGGAACACAGATTATTAGAGCAGTAAAACTTTCTGTGTGACACTGTAACCATGGATATGTGTCATTATACACTTACCACAACCCACAGAATGTACAAGACTAAGAGTGAACCCCAGTGTAAATTATGAACCCGGAGTAATAATGATATGTCAGTATGAGTTAACTGATTTTGACATCACTCTGGTATGGAATGTTGGTAGGGCAGAAAGTGATGGGGTGTGGAGCAAAGGTTTATGAGAACTCTCTGTACTTTCTACTTAATTTTGCTAAAATACCCTAAAAAATAAAAGTTTCTTTTAAAATATAAGTAAATATTGTAGCTCTGAAGAAAGTCAAACAGGATAAGGAGCACTGAGAGCACAATTGCTAGTTCAGAGAACGTGGTCAGGGAAAGCGGCTGTGAGGAGATGCCACATGACCAGAAACCTGAAGGAAGTGAGTGAGGAAGCCATGTGGATATCTGAGGGAAGAACATTCCAGGCAGAGGGAGTAGCAAGTGCGGTCACAAGTCATAAATGGCAAAGAAAATATTAGTGCGCTTGTATTCAAGGCCATTAACAAAGCAGTAAATGTAATAACAGATAATAAAAACAAGTGAGAAGAAAGGAGACTCGAATCTCAGAATACTTTTAAAAGAACTGGCATCAAATCAATCTTTTATTCATTTATTTTGGCCATTGATTAAATTTTGGTCTCAGTTGTTTAAAGTTAACTTAGACATTTTTATTCACTTAATATTTATTTACCAGTCACTGCCTTCCCTGTTTCAACATTTATTATCACTGGCCTGGACCAGGAAAATATCTTTGCTCATGGTCTCATGGATTCAGATTCATGTGTACTGATGTTGTCTTTCTTGATCTATAGTCACTTTTCCTAGAAGGAGATCTATCCCCATGATGTTAACCTAAACACTGAAAATAACTGTTACCAACAAAAATGAGCCAAATTTCTGAATGCATGATGGATTCTAGTAAATAAACATGTATTCAAATTATTCTAAATTTGAAAATGAAGCAAAGTATTGACCGTGTAAAAGTTTAATACCCTGCTGTAGCACTGTCTAACATTTTACTCAAGGGCCAACTGGCTGTCTGGGGGATTCTATGTTTGACATAATATTTATAATTGATTACGGCTTAGATATTTTATAAGTCCATAAAGCTAGAGGTTAACTTTTAGAACAATGATAAAACAAGGTGACTTTATTCTTTGTGACTAGGAAGGATAATTTAAAGTCTGTGATTGTATTGCAATGTAACATATGGACCAGTCTGTTTAAAACTGAATGTCAGAAACTTAGATCAGTGTTCCTTTTTTACTTCACTAAACATATAAAATCCCATTTCTTTTATATATTTTTTGAATCAGGTTTTCCAAAAGGCTGGTTATACCATTAATGAATTAAATACAAATATGACACATGATCACTATTTACTTATATAAGAATTATGTTTTTAACATTTTGAGAATTATGTTTTGACACACGATTGATTTTATGATATCAGATTCAACTAAGTCTAGAATTAAATGCAGCTTTCTTATATAAATTCTGAATATCATCTATGTGTGAAACTGTTCCACAGATCTATTCAAACACATCTACAATCACACTTGCAAAATATCCTTTTGGGAGTTATAAACGCTTTGGAAATCAATTTTACTTAATTTGATTTAGGATTTCCTAGCGAATATGAATTCTAAACAGGATTTTCAAAGATGGAAAAGGCTGATTTAGAACATTTGTATACAGGTAATATTTCTCTGCGATGTTGTGACTGCTTTGTATGAAAGCTCAGCCAAAAGACTCCAAGATATGATGGAACTAGGGGATAAAGTGTTTTTAATTATTGGCACGTAAAATGTAACCGGAAGCATTGGGAATTTGGCAGCAAATGTGTGCTCTTGAAGTGAGCAAAGTTATGGTCAAAGCCACTTGCAGAAAATGGTTTCAGACAGACCAGAATTAAGAAAACTGCAAGTTTATAAAAAAGATTATATAATTCTTTGAAAGCAGAGACCTTTATTATCACATACTGCAGCATGATTTTACTCATATTTTAAGGTGCTAGTAAATCCTTGAAGTTATTTATGGTGAATTGACATCAGCATAAATTACGGATTCGCTAGCAGGGCGTAAAGGATACGAATAAATCAAGAGGGTACCATAAATTAGGTAAATAGCAAAACTGCACCAATAAACTATATTCAGCTTTAGTATGAACATCTGACTAGACTGTCTGGGTTCAAATTCTAGCTTAGTCTAGTGTTACCTGTGGGGCCTTGACTAAATTATTTAAGGTCTCTGTGCATCATTTCCTCTGTGCCTAATCATGATACCAAATGTATCAAGCTTTTGAAACGTTAGATTAGTTAATATAAAAGACTCAGAAAAATTCCTAGTGCAAAATACGCACTAGGTTAGTCATAGCTAATGTTATTGTTACAGATAGTAATGGTACCTGGGACACACACAAAAAAAAGGAGTTGCAAATAACTTCAGGGACCTGAGAAGTCAGACCATGCTATTGCTCTGGTAACTAGGAAGTTAGGAGTGCATGAAATATACAAAGCTTTCCTGGTTTGTGACAATAGGATTTTCCTAAGGAGCCGTTCACTTGAGTTTTGTCTTATGAATCATTTAGAACATATTTAATGCAGATTTATAGATTCATAGAATGTCAGGAAAGAAAGGATTCTTAGAAATTGATTAGCCCAATCGATCCAGTCTTTGCTTTATATCAAAATCATTAGCAGATGGTTTAAAAATACAGATACCTGAACAGTCTCTAAATCCGAGTCAGAGATTACAAGAATATCTTATTTTTAAAATTTTTATGTTTATTTTTGAGAGAGAGAGAGAGACAGAGTGCCGGTGGGGGAAGAACAGAGAGAGAGGGAGACACAGAATCTGAAGCAGACTCCAGGCTCTGAGCTGTCAGCACAGAGCCAGACACAGGGCTGGAACCCATGAACCATGAGATCATGACCTGAGCTGAAGTCGGATGCTTAACCAACTGAGATATCCAGGTGCACCAAGAATATCTTCTTCAGATCATTCTGATGCAAGTAAAATTTTGGGACATCCTAATCTAGTCCAATTACCTTCTTCTACATGCTGGAAAACTAAGATCTAGTGATGTGAAATGGCCTAGGCGAGTTCATAATCATAATGACACCACTGGGTTCAGGAGCCTTGCCTCCTATATCCAGACCGATGTCCACAGCACATGTCAGAGAAGAGTGCAGAGCACAAAGAAGGGGTCACCCACAACCCATACCCTGCCTAGCAGAAAGCTAATGCATCCTCCTGAGTCCTGATTGAGCAGACATTACACCTTCCCTTTCACCTGCCTCTTGAAAGGAAATGTCTGATCTGTTGCTTAGCAATGGCATTGTTACGGAGTTTTTGGATTTCAGCAAAGAAAAGGGGTGGGGGGAGAGAGCAATTGCTAAATAAGCTCCCCACATCTCATTTTCACACTTCCTCCAACCAAGTGCTGAGTTTCTAACCTTCCTATCGATGAGGAGAACTCGTGAGCTTGGCTAAGATGACAGTAACACAAAACTATCTTTTATTTGCTAAAGATTATTCCTTTTGTGAGATGAGAGAAGAGATGACTGAGGTGTCAGAATAACACTGATCTTTTTCCTTTCTTTCTTCCTCATCAGAAGAATAAGACAGAGCCTAGAAAATTGCTGCATTTAAGAGCCATTTCTTGCCATTGCTTTAAATGTCCCCCTCCCCTTATTTTCATTGCACTTGAAATTTCCTCTGCAGGGAATTCCACTCTAGGCTCAAGAAGACATCTGGCAGCAGTGAGGGGCGAGACCTGCCTTGTGGACAGTTGCTGGTGAGATGTGATAATTCCATTTTATGTAGAACAGCCAAGTGCGTATTGTTAAATGTCAAGTATTTCCGTAAACAGCTGGAAAAATAAAGCCATGGAAAGTCTTGTTTATTACCCTACAGCTTCTTCTCCTGTATGGGAAACATAACTTTGTTTCACCATGTGGTTCAGAATATTAATAGCATCTCGATCCTGGGTAGATTTATTCCTTCCTTTAACAATAAATTTGTCTGTTTTTCTCCCTCTCGTTTTTCTTCCCACCAGTGAGATTCCAAAGTCATCTGAAGCGGATTTGCCAAATCAACTTTCAAACTGAGAAAAGGAGTCCTCCTACAGTTGATTCGAGCATACAATAAATTGCATGTAGTGTAAGGACTGACCAAGTTAGACAGCAAGATCATGAAATGTAAATAGAATCATCATGAAAACGAGAATTTAATTATTATTGGGATAATGTGGGCATTTCCTAAATATCAAGAGTCAGAACTGAATGATCATTTCTTGAGACATCAACCTATAAAATCTCCTTTCTGTGCTAATTCTCTGCACGATTGGACTACCAGCCTATGATTTCTGCAGACTGTTATTGAAGACATAGCTGAATTCCCTTCCATGGATGCTCTTTTATTGGAGGGAGAGTATTTCCAGAAACCCAAATATCATTAAAAAAGAGCATACGGTCAAATTCCTATTTTACAGATTATGATATTGAGGCTAAAAAACATTAGCCCAAGTTATAATATCAAAAGGATCGAAGTACCATGGTCTCTTGTTTCCCTGTCAATTCAATTCAGTTACATAAATATGGTGAATGAATGAGTTCATTTGGCAGGCACTGTGCTAGGCACTAGGTCAAAGTGCGAAATAGAGAAAAGCAAAAAGCAAAGAAGTCGAATGAGTTGGGATAGAAGAGCTACCACCAACTCTGAGTGAGTGTAAGCAAAGAGGAAACTGAATGTGGATTAGCATTTCTTTATTCTTGTTCCATCTTTATTGTCTGTGACAATAAAAGAGTAAAGGCATGGAACTGATTGATAGAGTGGGAGGGCGGAGGGTACATGAAAATCCATTTCCTTATGTCTGGAATGGCTGGAACAGAGTCAGTGGGTCAGTGGGGAATGGGAAGTTATGTATGCTAAGTGTGTGGATGTTATTCTAATAACAACTGGGAGTTGCTGAAAAGATTCTTTTTTAATGTTGATTTATTTATTTTGAGAGAGAGAGAAAGAGAGAGATCAGGGGAAGGGCAGAGAGAGAGGAGAGGGAGAATGTCAGCACAAAGCTTGACTTGGGGCTCAATCTCATGAACTGTGAGATCATGAAGTCAAGAGTCAGAAGCTTAACCAACTGAGTCTTCCAGGGGCCCCTGAAAATTTTTTAGTGGAGTAGTTATAATGCTTATTCCATTGTACCATATGAAAATTTTGGACCACAACTCACTGAAGGAAACAAAGCAAAAGGCACCATAAAGAACATGCCTTGAGTAAGCCAATGATTTGAGGGATGTGACAATCAGATCCTTCTGTCCCTAAACATATCTCTTGTTACTGTTCTCAAAGTCCCAGACTTCACTCTCTCCATTCAGCATACTATGCTTGATGTCTAGGCCCTGATAGAGATTGAAGTCTGGAGACACCCTTGAACAGCCAACAGGGGGTCAAGTGACAGATACCCACGAATATGAAATTAGGAAAGATCTTCATGGGGGACCAAAGTAGAAATAACACTCATAGTTCTCATGTGGTGCTATTTAGTTTAATTTTGTCTTCTTAACCATGAAATCGTGTTCACTAAGAGAACTCTAAAATACGAATCCCACTACAATAATAAGCCAGAGGAGATAAGTGATTTTCAGTTGTCACACAGCCAGGAAGTAGCAACAGTTGCACTTGACCTAAGGTTCCTGGCTTCTGACCCAACAGTCTTTCCATGATACCATAGCTGCCTTTGAGATGAAGTTCAGCTGCTTCGTATTCTTACCAAGCACTGACCAGACACCATCAACCATGGCAGCCTTTCCTCATGAGCTGATGGCGTTTTTCTGTTGGCGACTTGCTCATCCAGACCCTGAGACTACTGTCTGCCATTCCTCCATCATTTTTAATAATCCTGATGAAAGAGTCAACTTCTTTAGGAAGGTGTAGAAAATCTATAATACAAAGGGCAGGGGGAAGTCTCTGTTTAGAGACATTTAGTCTCTAAACCTCTAGGAACATTTTTCTATTCTGTTAAGATACCTGCCTTAGAATCCCCTCATTTAAATGTCAGCCAGAGCTTAATTACTCTCCTGGTATCTGGGATGCTATTTAGAATCCCTCATTCCTTTTTTTTGGGTGGGGGGAGCAGTCATGACTTAGTCCAACAAAATAAAGTCACTGCTAAAATCCTCACTTGTCAGATGATCTGCATGGTCCTGCCACCGCTACTAATTTGCAAAGAAAAAAAATATTCACATACTTAGGTGCCAAATAAAACAATCAACTTCAACTAGCATTTGAGCTTCATCAGACAGATGAAATGGATTTTATTAAGTTTCTTTTTCCTCACCCATTATAGCAAATGTTCATGCTGGCTCTTTGAACATTTTGTCAGCATAAATAAGTGCAATATTTTGAAGGCTTTGATTTCTAAGTCCATTCTCCCTCTGCAGAAAATTCCTTCTGTTCTACATCTGACCGTCCCCTCCGGCAGCTCTTCCCTCTGTTCCCAGGCTTCCACATTTGGTCCCCAAAGCATCTAGCGTGGAATTGGGCATAGAATGAGGATTTAATAAACGTTAGTTAAAACTGAATGCTTTCCTGTTCTATTTCCAGGAAAAAAAGAAAAAAGAAAGAAAGAAAGAAGGGCTGTCATGTGAACAGCTCTCAGCATTCATAAAATGGCAAGGGTGCATGGGAGCACTGCTAGGTGATGAGGTGACCTGGCTTCTTCATGATCACATCTGTTTTACTTTTCCTGAGATATTGTATAACAATATCAGCTTCCCACTGTCCATTTCAGACTTGAATTTCCTATGAGCCAGCCCTGGGTTCCAGCCAGTGAGCGGCTGATTTGTTTGGAAAGAAAGTCTTTATTATGAGCACAAAAAGAGGGAATAAACTTAATATCTCTCCTCTGGGTGTTTGGTGTTTTCTTTCTCCCAAAGATAATCAGGGGAGAAACCTAGCCAGGATTTAAAACCTGTGTTTTACTCCGAGATGCTAGTCAGTTTCTGAGACTTTCTCCTAGCATTAGTTATTCACAAGGGAGAAGTTGTCACACTTTTTGTTAAAAGGCAAAAAATAAGATAAGATAAATAAAATAAAGTCAACTAAAGTAAAGTAAAATAAAATAGATGTTCTAACATGCAGTGAAGATGCTTACCCTTTGAGAAACCAGTGTTTAATTGGAGTGAAAATTCAAGAGCAGAGCAGTATCTTTTTTAATTTTCTCCAATACTAAGAGTTTATGAGCTTTGAAATTTAGAATTTAAGAGCTTAAATGTTGGATTTTACTGTACATTATCCTGTCACCAAGTATTTGACTGGTGTTCAGGTCAGCAGTAGAGTGGACTCCATCGTAATTTGGGAGAAATTTTAGAAAATTGTGTTTGTTAGGCTCAGATCCTTTCATTACTTCCTGTAGAAAAGACCCATGAGTTTTACTAGAGACCCTCAACGTAAAGAAAAGACAAGGTTCGGACAGAGCTCAGGGACAAGAGGCTCAGGTTCTGATCTGAACTCAGGTCTCCACTCTTCTGATCTTGATTCAGCCGGCGGGAGGGTGGGAAGGGGGGTGAGGAGAGCAGCACTGGGAGCACATTCCCCAATTTACTCAGACCCCACTATGGTAACCAACAGCCACATGAAGATAAGATTTCCACTTATGCAAATGAACGGAATAATGGTTTATGGCCATAAAACCACTATATAAGACAATTGATTTTCTACCCCAAATTGAAAAAAGGGTAGAAGCCAAAGCAAAGGGTTACAGACTAAGAGGAAACAGGGGCGCAGGAATATTCATCTGCTCTTGTCCAGCAGAGACCTATACCTTCTTTCAGCATCTCTCAGCTCTCCTCTCCTAGCATTCCCCTCCTTGCCCACTCTGTGACGGGCGTGTTGGTCTTCCCATTCCTCCAAAGCACAGCCGGTCCTTTGCACTGGCGTCTCCCTCTGCTGGGAATATTCTCCCACTGAGCCCACTATTTCAATTTGCAAACTATACGTTCTCCATTCTCATAATTCTTACAGATTTTTCTAACTGTTAAAACTTTTCCGGGGTGCCTGGGTCACTCAGACGCTTAAGTGTCCAACTTCCACTCAGGTCATGATCTCACAGCTTGTGGGTTGGAGCCCCAAATCAGGCTCTGTGCTAACAGTTCAGAATCTGGAGCCTGCTTCGGATTCTGTGTCTCCCTCTCTCTCTGCTCCTCCCCTGCTCATGCTCTGTCACTCAAAAATAGATAAACATTTAAAAAATAAGAATAAATAAAGCATTTCCATAGCACTAATCCTATTCTAATGTACTATATGATTAGTTCATTAATTATAATTATTGTTTTCTTTCTGTCTTACCCTTGCTAAAATGTAAGCTCTATGAGGGAAGCAATCTTTCCTGTCTTGCTCATGACACATGTATCCCCTGAATACTGAGAACAGTGGCTGACTCATAGTATGTATTCAATGCACTTTGAGTGAATGGACAACTGGGTAATAAAAGAAACCAAAATCTTCGTTGGAAAAATGTGTGGAGAGTTAAGAAGCAAAACCATCCTCATAGGTTCCTTATCACAACTTCTTTTTCACCCAGTCCAGATGAAATTCTCTAGAACAAGTTTGAAAATCAGTACCATTTTCTTCCCATCACGTACAATAGCCAAGAGCCAACTAATGGATTAATCTAAATGGTCAAGAGCACAGACTTTGGAGTCAGACAGATGTGCACTTGAAATTTAGCTCTGCCGTTAGCTAGCAGTGATTGTGGGTATGTTATTTCACCTTATTAAGAATAACTGTCTATTTAAAATGAGGATAAGAACAAACACTTCACAAGGTCATCATGAGTATTCATCATAATGTTTATAAAGTGCCTAGCACCGTGCCAGGTGGAAACTCCTTAAACATGGCTATTATTATTAGATTATCCATAAGCACCGCCTTGCCCTGACATTCTTGAAAGCCACAAAAGTATAATTCCTCATAACCAAATCAAATTAGAGACGGTATTGAGTGATTTGGAAAAGTTCCAGAGTGTACAGCTGGACTATGTATCATCAGGAGTGAATTATTACATCTCACTGGGCCTCAGTTTCTCTTTAGTGGAAGGAGAATTTCAGTTAGTGTCTGTACTCTCAATATCAAGTATCAAATGCTACATTTAACAACTGAAATATGAAGC